AAATACTAATTAAAAACTGTATTATTTTTTTAATTATGTAGTACGAACTCTAGTATACTAAAGGCTAAAATAATTAATAATAACTACAGAATAAGGCTAGAATAAAGCTATACATGGCCAATAATCATCATAGAATAAGTAAGTACAGAAAAAAATCATAATTCGCATATCTTTTAAAGTAAATTTTTGCTGCTATTATAAAGTAACATATTTTGTATTGATATCCAAGTTACTTTATAAATAGCTTGTTATGGCTTTAAATACACAAATTATTTTATAAGTATTTTTATTAATGATCTTCGTAAGTGTTGAAATGTTCTTAATAAATATAAAGGGTACTTATAAATTTGTTGAAAACTATACATTTGTTCATTAGAATTTACACAAAAATAAAAATAAAAATGAAAATTCAAATTCATTTATATTTAAGCATATTTTATTGAATAGTTTGTTTCCAATAACTTCTGCAATTAATAATAATTATTTTTATACTAAAGTGATCGAAATGAAATAAGCAATTAATTATTCTTATTATGCTTATATCATGTCCTTACATTCATAATTCCTTCTTATATTCTTATTATATTCACTAATTCTTATTATATTTATAAATTCTTATTACATTCATTAATTTTTATTAAGTTTATTAATTCTAATTATATTCGTAGTATTTTAATTGTTCATTTGATAATAGTTTATAATTGTTATTAAATTAATTATTTAATATCATAAGTCATGTGAAATAATAGATCATATATTTTTTTTCTATTATAAATTAGGTAGAAATATTTTTTATCATCTGAACATATATTTTTAATACAAAATTAACATTTGTTTTAACAACATTTATTTATTTAAAATCGTTAGGCAGATATTGAATGTATAAATTATTTCATATTTAAAATGAGCTATATTTAGATTATATATTAGATTAATAAAAATTATTGTGGCAATTCAAATGTCTCTTGGCCTACAAAACTCGTGTACGTAGGGAAAATTGGCAAGTGATATGAGAAAAATGAAAAATAAAATGCATAGATGTTACGTTTACTGTTCAAGACCAACTAGGCAAAATGCTTTTCTCGACATTATAAATAAATGGAGTATTTTTTTATTTTAGTAGATTTAGGAACGTATATTCAATTTTTATGCGTTCGCTGAATATTTCTAAAATATATAGAAATAAACTCAATAAAAAAAACTAAGTAAAATCGTGATGTACGCTAATATTGTGCTTTGCATTTGACAAAGCTGAGTAATTGATTAATAACTATATTTTGATTAAATATTAGCGTGGAAAAATAAAAAGGATTGCATGTTAGTTGTGGAATTTTGAAAACATATTAAATGGACAGTTTCTTACTTATTTCTATAAAATTATTTAAAATAGAAATGTGCAACTCATTTCACTATTATGTGATATTTTATTAGTATATCGCCAAATAAACTAAGTCACTTGATTTTTAAAACCTATATAAATTAATTAATGTAAATTACCTGCAATATTTTCATGCAATTCTTTGCCTGGAAAAATATGATTTATGGGGAAAAACATCAGGAAGTATATTTATAGATTCAATATTCAAAATCATAAATTAAATTTATTACTGAAGAAATATTTCCTTGTGATACAAAATGAACATTTTCATTCCGAAAGCCTTTTACATATCTTATAAATTTCCCTTACAAATTTATAAAATTTAAAAGCAATAACAATTTTTTTTCTCAGATTTTAATTGCGTTTCCTTTTTAAAAAAATGAAAAACAAATAAATGTAACACAACTTTTTTTCTGACCAATATCATTGCATGTTATACACTTCTATATGTAATTGACTTATTTATTTTATTAGTTCGTAAACTAATCTTTGAACAAGAGAATAATACTGAAGTAATATACAAAAATGAAGTAATATGCAAAGATTGTGTTTAACAAACATAAATTAATTCGTAAAAGCTTATTCAATCAAGTCATTGGCTTTAAAATTTAAAATGGAAATATTTTAACAAAACTCTGTCCACATACTCTTTAATATTTACATTGCCTGTTTGCTTAATAAAGTTAACATTTGAAGAATATGGTACAAATATTATCAAAACCTATGTTGTTATTTGATAATCAGACGCATATAACGTGCATATATGATCTTAATTCATAATGATCGTTTCTTTGCAGTGATTATAACTACAAACATTAAAATGGATTTAGAAATCTTTCAGTTATGTAAAAAAATACATATTTTAATTAATTGAATGCATTACGTTTTCTTCCGTACTTTTGTACTTTTTAAAAGAATTTTAAAGTCCTTAAAAATATTTAATTTTAGTTGATATCACAATTAAACTTAAATTTAAATATTAGGTGGCTAACAAAATATCGAATACATAATTCTAATATGTTTTTTTTCCTTATACACAGAGAAAGAAAATTTTAGTAAAATTACCATACTCTATGGTAATAACATTATTGGGAAAAAACATAATTCTGGTTCATAGAAGAAAAGTATATAATATATTAACCATTCAGTTGTTAATTTTTCAGTTTGGATGGTAGCGATTTACAGGAAATTCAATTTCTTGAAAAGATAGTCCATATTACTACACTTTTAAAAAAATACAGAGTTGAAAAATAAATTTAATGGAATAAATGGTTTTCATGCCTTGCTCTTAAGTGTCATGATAAAATTCTCAAATTTTACGCCATGAACCAAATTTATAGCATAAAAAATCCTATTTTGCTGTTATTTTTACCAAAATCATTAAAAAATGTCCTTCGACAAAAAATACCATACTTTTTCATCTTTCCATTGAATCGGAAATACAGTAAATTTTATTCTATTCTGGTAGTTTTTACCATACTTTTTTTCCTCAGTGTAGTATAAAAATTATACGAAGTTTCCCTTTTAAAATGCAGTAAACAATGATCTATATTAGTTTCTGAAGCTATTGTTTTTGTTCAAAAAATAAATAAGCTTAAGAACGTGTCATAGCAGTATGTAAATTTAAAAATGTCTTTCTAGTCATGAAATCTTGAAAAAAAGGACAGACATAAAAAAGATAGTTTTTATACGTTTCTTTCTAGGGTTTTTTTTATCTGAGTATTGTTTTTAAATGAAATGCATCTAGAAGAAGAGGAATAGAAGTTATCTATAACTGAACCATACATAGTATACATACAAAAAATTATCATGCATAATAATCATTTTTAGAAGGGTATAATATTTATTTATTCTTTATAAACAGAGCTACCTATTATTTATGAATAAAACAGCCTTCGAACCTTAGCTTTATGTAAATTTTGAAAGCGTTTTTCTTGTCATGAAAGCACGAAAAAAGTTTTGAAAAGAAAGTTATCCAAAATAAGATACGCTATTTCTTACTACGCTATTTGATCATGAATCAGCATTCATAAAACTCTTCTGCTATTTTTTAATAAAATATTAACTAATACAATGAATTCCTATATAAAAATATAATTGCAATCAAAACAGTTCGTCAAATGCATAAACTAACTCACAGAATATTTTCTTAAATCATATATTACATATTTCGAATAATTTCTTAAAAATGCATTGGTAATCACCAACTTTAAAAAGCACAAAAATAACGTTGATTTTACAGAAAAATCTATAATTTAAGAAAATAATGAAAATAGGGTTAAGAACTATTGACTCAAAATATTTAAATAACAAGTTAAGTGCGAGAAGAATTGCTGTCCCAACGTCAGTTCAATACATTTATATCTTAAAAAACTATTAAATTTTAATAGCTTGTACTGTTAACGCCAAAAAATTATACAACATGTCTTACAATTAAAATAAAAAAATAATCTTCCTTAAAGTAAATATTTCTATACGAGACAAAAAAAAATACTTGAAAGAATTTTTCCCGTACTATTTTTACTGCGTGTTGTCAAAAATGTATTTATTATTTATTTAAAATTTGCAAAAGCAATTTTTTGAAATATAAGACTCCATCTCTNTATATATATATACATTTAGTGTATGAGTTTCACATTTGCAAAAAAACGCACAAAAGCAAACACGTATGTTTGTGTTTTTAAAGAAAAATTAATATTCCTTAATTGAATTTTCGACCGCATACAAAAGATCATCGTCTATTCATTTTTATTTATAATCAAAAATCCAAATTAATGTTTTTTCTTTTCAATTTGAAATCACAGTTAAAGTTAAAAAATAACTATAATTTTTCGTAAGTAAATTTAAAATTTCCTGGCCGATTTTCTTAAATAAAATTCCTTTCTTTTACATAATACAATTTTATATTTTCAATTTCTTATGAACTGAAAAACATTAATAAATAATTAATATGTTTGTATTTAAATGCCTTTAAATGACGTAATAATTAATAAGTTACTTCATTGCAGGTTTCAGGATCGTTGAATTAAATTTCAAAAAGTGTTTAATGGATAAAAGATTTTTTGGATAAGGATGTCGCAAATTATTAAATTTTAAAATGCATCATCATAAATATTAACAAGAATATTTTATCAAAAATATATCTTAAAATTTAAAGTAAGAAGTTCATATTCAATAGCTGAGTTAAGCTTCAAATTCTTAAGTATAGATTATTATTATTATTTTCCCTATTCAAAAAAGAAATTTTTTTCAATTAGTTATTTTTGCAATTAATTATATTTTTATAGTAACTATAATATATTAATTATTCAGATAGCATTTTAAACTACTCTCCTTATAAATTTTATTAATCCTCCTTAAATGTTTCTTCACTTTTTGACTAATTTTAATTAAGTTTTATATTGATATTCACGCTTTGAATATCGATAAAAAATGTCCCATTTTTCCTCAAATGCCCTAATTAAACACTAGTGAACAAACACTATATGAAAAACACATATTTAAGAATAGTGATTGGAAAACATGCTAAATATTATTATTATATACATATGTTATTAAATATTAACGTATATTAACATCATTAACATTAACACATAATAGAGAAAAATTGAATTTTACTCACTTCCAGCTGGTGCGTAGATATTCAAATAAAGGCAATCCTCGCTCTGATTTGCCAAGAATGGCAAAAGTCTTTTTAAGTATTCATATCGTCCAGGTGGCATGCGTTTTAATGCTTCTGTTTCATTGCTAATGTCTGGTGGTTTTTGAGGACACACAGGCATAAAATGGTCGGCAGTTCTGACACCTCGCCACTGTGGTGGTGTTCCAGGAGGTAAAAACCGTAAAGACCCTAGTGGCACACCTGCATAGGGTACCCCTAGGAACACTTCAACGGGTTGCAAGTTTTTATTGCTGAGAATTTCGACTACTCCTCTCAGAGAGCCATACTTAGTCGCAACAATGCTCTCAGTTGGTTGGTACTTCATAGGCTCTGGTTTCGGATTAGAGTCAGATCTACATCCACTGGTGTTTAAAAATATTAAAGAAATTCCGGTGAATAATTTCGTAAAACGGAGTAAATTAGTTGTCTTTTTCCTAGGCAAGTTTCCTATTGTGTTGATCATTGTGTGATCCATTTTATTTATAATGTTAAATGAAATTACTTTTTACTTACATGTCAAAAACATTTACAAATCACTCATCTATTTTTTTGTTATTTCTTGGACTTATAAAGCCAGAGAACCATAAGGTAAGCAACTTTAATATTTAAATAAGCAAGAAACTATTCAAAACCAAATGTGAAATAAATTCCAAGAGAAAATAAATCTATGGTATGATATCTTTTTAATGTACGTCTTGAAGCAATATATTCCAAGAAAAAGCCTATTATTCTGAAAATGACTTAATAAAAATATTTCATAATTATTATAATCAGCAGCGACTAATTGTTTATAACTCTCATGATGATTGGAGCTAAATCTATTCGAACACAAAAAGTATTTAAAATTAAATCATTGTTTTAAAAATAAAATTAAATCAAAAATTCTGCAAAAGATAAAATTCAAAATTAAAATTTTCACTCTGAGATATTTTCAGGTATTCAAGTCAAAACTTTTTTGGAGAGACTACAAATATTTTAAGCACACTGTATCTTTTTACTATCACATCATCAATATTCATTACCTGACACCCTACCTAGAAATGTGATTTTTCTCAACTCTAAATCTAATAAAGACACAAAAGTATTACTCAGAGACACAACATGACACATAAGTGCAACAGTAAATCACCACCAGCATGCACGCAAGAAACTACCTGTAAGACTGTACGGCACGTAAATTTCTTTAGTTTGGAAACAAGATATTTCTATCTGTTAAACAAAATACAGGAAACGTAGAGTATTTGAGTCTAGATTCCACTTTCTCTGACTATTTGGCATGAATCTTTAAGGAGCCAAAAAGTGAATGAAGAAGAGGATTTCCATTCGGAGAGCGCCGATTCCCACTCACTTCCACGATCCGGCACTGATCTTAATAGGAGTGTTATTTCAAACTGGAAAGTCCGGAAGGTTTGGGGACTAAGCAAGAGCAAATTTGGCCCGCCATCTGGAGGCAAAGTGTGAAACTGATGAAGAACAAACGCGAAATTAAAGTCTTTTGTCTCACTTAATTCCCACTTAGACTTTAAAATAGAATTTTATTCTGTATAAGAAAATGTTCAAATACTTTTTTGAAAAAATAGGAATGATTTATTGAGGTATTTTGCTTAGTAATAAATCTAAAAATAACTTTACGTTTTGAATCTTTTTTTAAATTTATATTTTTCAAATTAAAATTGAGATTAAATTTGAGGTTTTCTAAGGAATAAGTAATTTAAATATTAATTTTTAAACTTAATCAAATTAATCATCATTCTAAAATTAATCAATTAATCTTTAAAATTGAAAAAAGACTAAAGGGGAAAAAACAGACTTCAATTCGCAAAATTAATGCCTTTTTAGATTTTTTTAGTTTTCTTTTTAAGCAAGACAAGAAAGGAAACATTGCATAAAAATAAGACAATTTCAAAAATGTGTTAAAAAAACGATTTTATTATAACAACATAGCTTCTCAAAACGACAAAATTTATTATTATCGTTTTACTGTAGAAAAGTTAATATTTAGAGTAGATATTTAAATAAAAATAGTCAAACTATTTATGATGGTTGGTGCTGTAAATAGCTTTGTAAAGCTGTAATAGCTGTAAATAGCTGCTGTAAATAGCATTGTAATAGCTTTGTTAAAATCATAAGAATGAATCATATTTTGCAATAAAAAAAAATTGTGAATAGTTACAGATATTTTAAAAATGAATAATAATACATATATACTAATACTCCTGATGTCGAGTTTTTTTACAAGTCATTAAAGCATGCACTAACACGATAAAAATAAAATAAAATAACATTTAAAAGATGGGATTCTTTAAATTTCTACAACCGCTACCATTTCTTTTTAGATAATGTACACAGAATAATTACTTGAAAAGATAATGCATCGTTGCTAGAAAAGTTCATTACTTAAGATCAAGCATTGGAACAAGCTAGTTGCTAGGTTTGATGTTTTGAGATGAAGCTAAGCCACATTTGCGTTCAATAAAGAAGAAAACCACAAGACATCCCTTGGTCAGCTTGATAATAATGGAATTCTAACCCATAATCAGATAACCTCTGAGGATATTTTATATTATAACTGTGGTCTTTGGGGAGTCAATAGGAGAATTCGTATCAATCAGCCTCCACTGGTATTCGAATCCTGACCACCTTATTGGAAAGCTACCTAAACACATGGGATAAATTTTATAACTTCTTTAACTGTTATGAATAGTTAAAATTTAATTAAATTTCGCAAATATGATCCTATAATTTTAATGCATACCATAGAGATTCTCAGAAGCTATTAAGATGGCATAAATTACATTGTAACTTCATCAATCATACTAAGAATCAATTGAATTAGTTTTATAAACTCAAACAAAACTGAATGAAAAATAAGTATTTTTAACTATTAATAAGCTTTGTAAGGAGATCTTAACGATACTAATACATCTTTCAAAAACACATGTTTCTTACATCCAACATGCAAAACTTTCTATCTTATTGAAAATGACAATATAATAGAATTTTTTAATTAAGATTTTACAATACTTCCCTATTAACTTAACACGTAGTTTCTAGTAATATAGTAATAAAAAATCTGAATATTATGACTTTATTATATTATAAATGCTTGATTTGGTATAAAATAGCAAAAGAATAATAAGCATGACATAATTAAAGGGAACGGAAATTTTATTAAATATTCTCTTACGCAATGGTGTTTCATTTTTTAGCTGTTCTTCGCTTAACTTTGTATGTGATATATTATGTGTCAAGTTTAATTATCCAAACTGAAAGCAGTTTCTTGATTCTTTAGCTCATGAAATTTTAAAAATTAAAGTTGCAAGTATAATAATGAAATTTTAAAAATTAAAGCTTATGATGTTTAAAGTAACAACGAAAGTCTTTTTAAAGCTCTTATCACATTTGCTTTAATATGTTTGCAAATAAACAAAGAAAAACCTACTGAATTTGATAAATTGGAGAACATTAATATTTAAAAAATTAAAATAGAAACTAAACACCATTTTTTATGATAAAATAGAATTGAAACAAAATCAAATATCACTTCAAAACATTTTATTTCTAAATATTGGAAAGATATTTTAAAATTCCATTTTTAATGACTGAAAAGTTGAAAGATATTGATTGCACACAGTGAAATTATAGAAATAAAAAATTCAAATAACCTTCCTACATCTAAATCTATAAAACTTCTCTGAAATATCTTGGGGTTAAACATTTATTACTTCTCCAAAAATACTCCATAAATAAAAAAATAAAAATTTAAATGAAATTAAATTTTCAAAAAACTTCATTTGATTTAAAATTTGAGGAAATTTGATCAAATTTTAAACATTTTGTTAAATGTTTGTGTAATTTTAATAAATTTTTATACAGTGTTCAACCATATGAAAAGTTTTAGGTAAAAATAATTTCAATGTTTAAATGATAAATGTTGTGCTTCGTGTTAGGCTTTAATATCTTCAAATGAAAAGATATTTGTTCAAAATATTTTGCTTACTTTGAAATTAAAAAGAAAGTCTACAGTTAATTGCATTTTTGTTGCTAAAAGTGCTTAAAAAAGTATTTAATAAAACAAATATTCTGGTGTCATTGTTGAGATTAGAATTTTCGAGATTGCCGGATTATGTACCCGCTCTGCTGAAGTATGTACCCAGTTGCAAGGAGCTAGTTGGTTTCATACGGTGTTCACCACGCACTTAAAACTATTAGATTATTGAGCATTATCTGTTGTGTTAAGCATCTGATGAAAAAAACAATATCAATGCGTAAATCTCATCACATGGCTTAGCTTCCAGCTCTTAAACAAAGTGCGTTTGATTCTCATCAGTTGTGGGCCTAGTTGGTGCGGATAAAACTCTATTTGATTAACTATCTTTGGAGAAACGATCAATGAACGATTTTTCTCTCAGTTAACCTTTCGAATACCATCTTTTTATGGTAATTTTACTTTATTGGTATTTCCAAGTATATTTCCATAATATTTCCAAGTTTACATTATATACATCTTGTAGAAAAGTCATTCATGTATTGAAAGTGGACAATTAGAAAGTTAAATTTCTATTTAAAATTATTTACAATCTAAAATGTGGTTAACATTCAATATTAGATTGCTATCTAGGGCAACGTTGCTTTTTTTCTCATATTTCAAATAAATAAAAAAAAACTTTCTTGGACGCTTGAAAAATAACTAAACTTAGGAAGATCTAGATTTACCATGGATGTCTAGCTTTAATTTAAATTTTAAAACATCCAAGAATATATTTTTCTAAAATAGTTTGAATAACTTTTCTTCGTTTTTCTGTCTCCTAGCAGTTTTATTAACTCCATTTTAATCTAACAATGATTATGAGTTAAACTAACATCGAGACTTAATTTAATTGAAAATTAAAAATGCGGAATATTGGTATTTAATTGAATAAATTTAATTGTGTTTGAAAAAAAAGGAATCAATTTCGATTTATTGTTGAAATGATGTAATTTGCTAAAATTTATTTGGACATAAGAAAGCCTTCAATCAGAAAATTTATTTAGCCTACTTATGTCTTATCCTCATTTTCTATCTATTATTAATGAAAGAGTTTTTAAGTTAATTTAAAATAAATTTCCTAGAAAAAAAATTTTATTAATTAAAATTTACTCATCAATTAGTTTCTTTGTTTCATAAATATAAGAATATTTTTAAGCTTCAAAATTTTTAAGTTGAGTTTTCATGCTTAGATGTTTCGCTACAAAACACAATTATGAATATTTTCAGTAAAAGTATATAGAAATATTTAAAATGCTCATAGAAATCTCTAATAACACTTTTATTCTTTACCTTATTTCGTTTATTATAACATATAAATCGTATTTTTTTCTAGCTTGTAGCTTTAAACTTTAATGATGACCAAATTTCAGACCAATCCTATGTAAGTTATGATTAATTTCCTGTTATGAACATGTCAATAATTCTGATTTACTAGATTTTCCGTAATTACTTCCCTTAATACCCCTTTTTAGCATCCTTGTCAAAAATTAAGCCCAAAAATTGTACACACAGAGATCTTAGATAATTATTTAAGTCAGGAAAAATCTGAAATCTGTCAAACCACTGGGAAAAGTTAAATGAAAAAATTTTTCAATCACTTGGTGAAATTTGAAGTTAAGAAATCGTTTTTATACTTTATTTTTATTTTCGACGGCAATCAAATTAGTTTTTTGCTTTAAGTCCCACTTTTCTTAGAAGTGATTCAATAGATTTCGAGAGCGATTTTGTTTGTCTTTTTCTTGCTCTTCCTTGGTTATTAATTTCTAAAAAAATAATGTGCATGTTTTCTTGTATAAACTATGAAGATGTTTCTTTCAGAATACCTTGTCACAATAATAAAATCTTGTAAAATTTCTCCCATGATCTAAAAACAGAAAAAGATATTAATATTTATTAACTATACATGATGCTGTGATACATTAAAGGCATTGAATTTTAAAAACAGTATGGAGCACTGTTCTTTTTCAAAAACAATAAAAATTTCGAAAGTTAGCGTAAAGAATGAAAATTCTGATTGCTGTAATTTTTCTGCTTGCTTGCCTTGCTAAGAAAAACATTATCACTTGTAAATAACAATTTTTTTAATTTTATAGCTATTTTAGGGGAGTGAAAAATCTTAGTAAATTAAGCACTAATCATTAATTCAAAAACTTTTTGCATTACGTTCCTTTATTCAAAGTATTTGTAAAAGTCTTTGATACGCCCCTTTTCAAAAATTTTAACTAAGCGTTTTGCTGAAAAACAAAAATTTTCTAGATTATTTTGGTTATTCCTATCCAAAGATTTTTATCATAACTTAGGAAAATACACATACCGTGTATTTTCCTAAATT